TAAAAGAATTGAGACTGAACACAGTGACTGTGAGAAAACATCCCCTTAAAATTTCGGCTTTCCGGCAGTTCAGTTTTCCATTGGTGTCCAGTTGCCGGCTCGACAAATGATATCTTGTACTGCGTAACAGTAGCTTCGTCTTCGATGTTTGCACTGAGCAGATTATTTTGGCGCTTGCCCACTCCTGAGCGGTGCACACCGACACGAGGAAGATGCTTCTTTTTGCTACTTCATCTGTATTATGCTGTTCGGAAGCATACTTAACCTGTTTTATGCTTCATGCTGTTCCGAAGACCTAGCAGTTTCGCACTTAACATTTGCAAATCGATTTACCTCAGTACCTCCCTCACTGATTTCTGAACCTCTCCCTCACACCGCACCTCTCCCCTCCTCGTCTTTTGCATCCTGCTTCATCCTAACACTCACAGACACCGTTTTAGCGTGTATTCAGTGCATAAGCGGGTTGGCGCTAGGTTTCGTCCGGATTTGACCAGTGAAGCAAATCACCCTGGACGAAGAGTCATCGCTCTGTTCGTTTATGCTCCAAATTGGCCGGAGCAATGAGGAGGGACTATGAAGAAACAAAAAATATCGAATTTGGGTGGTCGGTCCAATGTCCCGAATGGGCAGCGCTTGGTCATAGGGTGCCAGGAATGGCTGAAACTGCGCTGCCGAAAGCACTTCTGGTCGATCCATCAAACAACATCGATGCAAACATGTTTGAGTAGCGCTGAGTCATCCGTCCATCGCGCCCCAAAAATACGCATTATTCACTTAAGAACTAGAGCTTCCGTTTTTCTGCCACAGCCGCCTCTTCGCTGTCTTCCATTCCTCGTTCTGGAACCAGGACATCCAGTTTTTCGCTTTCCCCCTTACCATGTTCTGGTTGCTTTTTTAATATGCTGTTTTGTCGGGAAAGCTGCGCTAGCGAACAAATAGGGTTTTTTACGCATTTTTGGGCCTCACAAAAACGCACCGGGACTGAGACCAGTCCTCGGGTCACTCTGGGCCTAATCTATTGACTTCAGGCTGAAATTCATGCAGTTTTTGTGGCTCAAGGATTTAGGCCAATTTGGAACATAAAGGAACAGAGCGTATGCGAGACCAAGGATCAAAAATGAATCTCCAGATTACTTTGTTCTTCGAATTTTTCGTCTCGATTCCAAACTCAAACAGGTTTTACAACTTCAAAACCAAAAGTATTACAAAATTTAGATATCGGGGATAACAGTTTCTGAACGCACGCACAAAGGCGTAAATCTGAAATCCACTCTTCAAGCGCTCTGGACCTTGACTAGGAACCATAGGCCCAAACTTAAGAAGATTTTATACGTAAAATTCAAAAAAAAAGTGCGGACTTGAAATTTCAAAAAACCTCCGACAGCACAACAGACCAAAAACTTGAAATCGACTTTCAGTGTACCCTATGTTTTGATCTCAGGGCTCTGAACCAAATTTGGGTAAATTTGCCCAAAGCAAACTTGGAACTATGCAGATAAACTCTCTGGCCATGTTTTGAACCTGAAAATAAAAAGAGCTAACATTTTTTATGTTCTGTACTATTTCTGGGTTTGAATTCGTGCTAATTTTCCAATAAAAACGAGCAGAGAGCTAGGAACTCGATATTTTTTTGAGTTAAATTTTTTTAAACACTCGCCCTCATTAAACCAAAACTCTATTCTCCACACAGCTGCTACTCGCCCGGGATGCGGAAAGCCGGCAATCAGAGCGGCGGCAGCGAGGCGCACTTATTCGTCCTCATGCATTTTGTTACCATTTTTGGATGACGTACACCGTGCGACTGCTGCTGCTGTTGCTGATAGCATTTCCAAACAATTTTGCTACTCGTATACATTTAACGTCTATTGATTTCCTCTTTGAATAGGCTTTGTGTCGGTGTCCTTGGGCGGATACTGCCCCGAAACCATGTCTACAGCTTATCATACTTGATATTTAAAACAGCTATCAGTAACGCCGTCATTTCAGCCGACAAGCACACTACTTGCTTTCTCCTTTATTTCATGATTGTTTTGAGCGATACTCTATCAACACCCAGTAGACAACAGCCTTCTGGAGCCAGCTAATTAGTAATGCTGACGTCGCTCTGGTCTTCTGAAGAAATTATCAACTGATAGCATCACTCCCGACAGAAGCGCTTCGCCGTGGTTCTAGCAGTGATGCAATGGCTCCTTACGCAATTTTTTATAAAAAACCATAAATCATTGTGTGAAATATTATGTGACATGCTCGAAGATTCAGCGGTGTGCGTTAAGCAACACTACGTTGTCTTCAAGCGTCACTACCTCTTCCCAGACCAC